GTGTGTGTGTGTGTGTGTGTGTGTGTGTGTGTGTGTGTGTGTGTGTGAAATTGGGGGGAAGATGACCTACACCAAATTGTCACCGAGTCAATGACGACTCATAGCAACCCTACAGGACAGAACTGCCCCTAGGTTTCTAAGACTATAATGCTATGGGAGTAGAAAGCCTTGTCTTTCTCCCTCAGAGTGGTTGGTGGTTTTGAACTGCTGACCTGGCGGTTAGTAGTCCAATGTGTAACCACTACACCACCAGGGCCCCTGGTCCCTAGATAGGAAGTAGCATTTGGTCCCACAGTTCTTAGGGCTGATTCAGCAGTACATAGATGGATTGTGAGCAGCCTGGCTCTTCCCACCAACCCCCTTTCTCCTGAAGTTAGCAGACTCTGGCCAACTGCCGCCTATTTTTCCTGAGCCCTAAGCAAATGAGAGATGTCTAGTGAGATACATTTTGGAAACAAGAAGCAGAAAAGCTGGCCCCATCTGTTCACAAAGTAATAGGCAGCCAGGGCTTCACAGTTAGCCGTGAGGACTTGAAGGGCTGTCTCTGTCACTGATTCACCCAGAACCTCCAAGAAGCAGACATTCCACGACTTTGCCTCCAGGGGTCCCTCGGATGGGGAGAGACCCCCAGGATTCTGGGAAGATAAAGGGGGAAAGAGATGAGGCATGAGTGCGTGGAACCTCTTCGTTCTTGTTGATTCTCGTTGGAGAAGTGTGCGGCGGGTCTCACCTAATGGAGTCCTCGTAGAGTCCACAGGATTACCCGGAAAGGAGAGTGCACCGGGTCCTTGTCAAGGTTCTGGCTAAGCTTCAACCTACCCCACGCTGCGCTCCTGAAAGAAAGCCACGCTCGAGGACTGTTCAGGGGGGGAACACGCTGTTTATTTTGGCCAATAGATCCAAGCAAGGATGCACACTGCAAAAGAAATTCAGTCTGCTCCCCAAAGCAGATAGTACCACAGCAGGTAGGTCACACTGGATCATCTCAGTTTCTCCTCCCCCGCCCTCCAACCACCACACTGAACACCAGTCCTAGAAAGTGCTTACATCGCTGGGCTCTCCTCCAAGTGCACAAAGAGCACTCAGAACATTCCAGAATGTGCCTTTGGTGAATCAACTCAGAACGTCCAGAAATTATTACAAAGCCCCCCCCCCACCCACCCACTGTAACTTTTGGGATGGGTGCAGTGAGCTGTCTTATCTTTGTATATATAATATAGCTATATCTCAATATAGACTGTGTACAAATGCAATAATAGCAAGCTTCGGTAAAGGAAGACATCAGCAAGAGCCAGAAAAATATTTTAAGACACAGGCTGCCTATCATGAAGACATAACTAGGAAGGAAAGGATCTTGATTCATCCCCCATTTCTAGCCATTCCAAAGACCTGGAGTTACCCTTTGGGACTTGGCCGATAATTTCAATGGTCCATCTACTTCACCTGACCTTGTAAATAGTTACCTGCCGGTCTCCCCAAGGAGACTCACACACCAGGAGCAATGCAAGTCCAAGCAGGTGGTCCTTTTTATACATTGGACTCAGCGTGATTCGTACGTAGCTAAAGGGCAGACCCCTATTTCCACACCAGTTCCAAGGCACCTCAAGGCATTTCAGTCCTGAAAAATTTGTGCTTTGTTCTTAGATGCTAAATTCTCCATAGTTGGCCAGCCCATCTCTCCGTACCGTGGTCCTCAAGTAGGAGGAAGAGACAGATCAGGAGTTCTGGGAGAGCAGAAGGGGCAGGGGAGGCAGAGGAGACCAGCAGACAGGGTCTGGTGGAACGTAGCGGTGGGTGCGAGCTTGCAGCCAGGACTGGGCATCAAGCAGTGTAGGACAAGGAAGGACTTGCTAGCTGGCACACAAGGTAGAGAGAAAGCCACTGTGGAGACAACGTGCCCACTTCCCACCTCTCCTCACAGAGGCCCAGATTTGCCCTCAACCTCCCCACCCCCCACCCCACCCCCAGCCCTCTGTGAGACGGGGGAGGGGGGAGGTGTAAGGAGCTGAAGAAGAAAGTGCATATGAAGACGGCACCTGGGGCAAAGGTGGCTTCTGACCCTCCCCACCTGCTTTGGGAAACGGAGGCATGGCCTTGGCCTTGGCCTCCCTTGATCAGAGCCGGAATGAGGCAAGGGCACAGAAGTCTGGGGCTTCTTTATGGGGCGTCCGGACTTCTTCGAATGAACCTAGGGAATCTTGCAAATAACTCCCCTAAATGTCATGAGTCCTGGGGGCGGGGGAAGGGGCGGGCAATCCCAACATCAGTGAAGATCCTCCCACATCCTGGGAGAGGAGGTACCCACAGATGTGAGTTGCAAGCTGCAGAAGCCTATGCAGCCTCCCATGCTCTCAGCTGGCAGGAGGGTCTCCCGCACCCCCTACCAGCTCTCCCCTCTCCGCTGGCTGGCTGCAAGGATGGGCAGCGTCCACCTGCTCCAGGCATCTTGGTGGTTGAAGCGCACCCCATTGGCAGTGTGTAGACTGGCAGTTAGGTTCTGAGCTGATGCGTTTTAGATTTCCCAGATGGGCTGGCTTCCCGTACCCATTCACTGGGGTCCCTTGGCCTGACCTCTGCACTCTGCTCCCTCTCCTCTCCTCGCCTCACCTCTCCTCTCTTCCTTCTGCCTCTCTCCCTGCTGCCCTTCACAGATTGCAGGCTCTGGAAGCCATTCCTTCTCCCCCCACTCCAGCCTCACACACAAGGGCTCCCGAGGTGTTATTAAAGTCACCAGAGAGTCACTCTTGGTCCCCATAGTGCTGGCCTGGCCAACCCCCACCTGGATATGGCTTTGTGTGCAACCCCACCACATGCCTAGCACATAGCAGGTGCTTAATCAATGGGTGTTCGACTGAAGTGAATTAAACAGAGTCTCCCACACAGCACTGCTCCCTCCTCCAACTGGCGGTCTGAAGAGCAGAGGCAGGGGTGGGTCCCTGAGACATGTCTTAATCCCGTATCCACCCTTTGCCCCCAGCTTCATGCCCCGCCCTGGGCACTCACTCCCTAAGTCAGGGCTGGGAGCTGGGCTCCTCTCTGAAGACTGGAAGTGCAGAACAGGCTCAGTGGGGGCAGGGGGGGGGGGGGAGCAAGGCCTCTCACCTCTCACCCCCACCCCTACCTCAGTCACAGCCTACAGCTGCTGGCCTCCTGGGAGGTGAACCCCGGGGCTTCCGGAAAAGTTCACCCTCCTCTCCCAGCGGAGAGAGGCCCCTCCCACTGGAAGAACTATGGCTCTGTTGATTCTAACTAGAGGCTGAGGATCCCAAGGAAGGGAATGGTAAGAACCTCTGATGCTACCCCTTTGAGCCTCAGGTTCCTCCCCTACCGTGAGTGATAGGGCGGGGCAATGTCTGGGGCTCCTTCAAGGTCATGCTCTCTGAGTCAGCAGTTTGTCTCCTCACTGGGCTTCTATAATTCCCTTGTCATGTAGGTAAATGGCAGTAAGAGCTGACCCCCCACAAGTCTACTTTCCTCGCCACAAAGGAATTGACTGAGGTAGGGGACGGTGAGCCACCCTGCTAGATCTAAGGAGGCTCCAAGTCTGCTCCCCACCCAGACTCTTCCCTCAGGGGGTGCCCCCCCCCAGAAGGCTGAACCCCCTTCTGAGGTTTCAAGGAGGAACTTCCACACTGAGCCCCAGAGGCATCTGCCTCCAATTGCACTGCACCTCCACTGCCCACGGTCTCCACTCCCTCCTCATCCCTGTGCTTGTCTGCTCCTGCCCTGATGGTGCCCAGTGTATCTCAGAAGACCCCCCTGGAGCAAACCCTGTTTTACAAAGGAGCCGCCACCCCCTCCATCCCTCAGCTGACTCTGAAAGGAGTCTTCTGTTGGCAGGGAACTACTGTGGAAAATGACCACAACCTGGAACAACACAGTCCACCCCTTGCCTAGCTTAGCTACTCTTCCGGCATTAGTTACACCCAAATCCCCCAGGGTTAGTGGCCGGCAAAAGAGCAAGAGGCCTCTGAGGCAGCTGCTATCACTGGGGAAAAGGAGCAGAGTCAAATTCCTGGGGCCCAGGCTTGTCTACAATATTGCCTCTGGTTCCAATTCTCCTTTGACACCCTGGAAATCCAAGATAGTCCCTTCAGAATGCCCCCCTACCCACCAATTATAGGGGCACGCCATTATCCCCACCACTACCTTCACCAGCAGCCTGCTGGGAGCAGCAAGAGAAGCGTGGTCATGCCACCAGAGACCTTCCAGAGGCAGCGCTGCCACCACAGGGAGCCCACACCAGGTTCCACTGGAGCCACAGCCAGATGTGCCCAAGCACCAGGCAGACTGCGCTGCTAAGCCCTCTGTCTACCCTCAGCGCTTCTCTCCTTGGGGCTCTCACCCTACCCCTGGCTTCCTCTCAGGAACTGGAGGGTTTGCGCTCCCCCACCCCAGGGCCCCCACATCCCATGGGTCATGACAGGTTTCTCAGATGAAAGAGAGGTGGGTCACTCTTGGTGCAGGGTGGGGGGAAGAAGTGAAGGGCTCAGAGGCCCAAGATCAGCACTGGACCCCTGGTTCAGAGAAGCACACCAAGAGAGGGCAGCGGGGTCACACTGTACAGGGCAGAGTGGAAGGGAGACAGGACGCGGGGATGGGAGGCCGCCGGGGCCACCCGCCTGTTACTTGGTGCCATCGTCAGCATTGCCCTCGCCGTCCATCTTGCCCTCCTCCTCGGTCTTCAGGTCCTCGGTGCCCAGTTTCTGTTCTTTTTTTCTCCTCACGCACTTGACTGCCATCAACACCAGGATGACCACGGCCAGGAAGCCCCCCACCGAGGCGCCCACAATCACTGCCACCGTGGAATCCCGTTCCGGGGGCTCTGCAGAAGGCAAGGAAGCAGACCCACTCAACACTAGCCCTGCCAAAGGGGGTCTCCTCCACTGCCCCCCCATACTGTCATGTAATGTGTGGGGTGATGGAGGGGTGTCCTGATTCTCCTCTCCTCATGGAAAGGACTTCAGTGAAAGCCCAACATCAACCCACAAGTGGAACCTCTAAGCCCCTTCCACCACCACCCCCAAAATCTCCTGGGCACCAGGAAGACCCCAGGGGAGAGAGTCGAGTCGGCTCTTTCAGAGCATGGACTTGGAGACAAAGAGCTCCGGTTTCCATCCCGATGGTGCTGTGGGTTCACTGCGGAGCCCTGGGTAACTTGCATCTTCTTCTCTCTAAGCCTCAGTCTCCTCATCTGCTGGATGAGGGAATCACAGCCCCTCCCTCAAAGGGTTTTGAAGAGAAGGAGACGAGAGATGGCATCAGCATGTAGCCCTGGGCCTAGGATAGAGTGTGGTTGTCGCTGCTGCCAGCTGTTGTTGAGGTGCGCTGTGACCCACAGGCACTGACTGGCTCATTTTCGGAAGTAGATTGTCAGGCTCTCCTTCCAAGCCTGTCTTAGTCTGGAAGCACCTCTGACCCTCGTTCTGCATCATAGCAAACCCCTGAGCCTCCTCTGGCCGCCAGCAGTAGCTGGGCACAGGGTGCTTTGGCCAAGAATCCAACGTGGATCACCCGTAGGGGCGGTGAGATTGCTCCCACTGACCCATCAACACTGCCGTGCCCAATAAGTTAAAGCCGCTATTGCTATTGGGAGCACGGTGAGTGTTGTTAGAAGGACTTGCTGGGACCATGCCCAGGGGCTCGGGAACTGGACAAAGCCACATGGATACTTTCACTACACAAGCAGTGGCCAGCCTCCCCCAGGTGCCCTGAGCTCACAATGCTGCAGAATGGCCAGCTAGGAAGGTGCAGGCCCCCAGTGGCTGGCTCCCTAGTCCCGCCCCACTCTGCTCACCTTCCATGAGGACCTGCAGAGAGATCCTGCCGTGGCCGCGGTGGCGGTCGGGCGGGTTCATGATGTAGCAGTTGTAGATGCCAGCGTCCTCCAGCTGCACGTTTTTCAGGGTCACAGAGACATCGTACTTGCTGGGGTTCCCTGAGAACTCCACTCGGTCTCGAAACTGCTCCGGTTTCAAGTTAATGATCTTCATGCGGAACTGGAGGAACTAGGGGAGGGGGGAGGGGGGGCAAACAGCAGGGCATGCTGGGCAGCTGATAGGGCAGGGGGACAGTGAGGAAGCTCCCTCCTCCCCGCCCACCCTCCACATCACCCTTTATCCTGGAAGGAAGGGTCCACCCGACCTTCTCCCAAAGCCCTCGGAGGTCCTGGTCCAGTGCCCACCAGACAGGTGGTGGGCAGTGGACTTCCATGCTGGCTGCTGCCCAGCCTCTTCTGTGCCAGACTTACCGTCTCCTCTGAGCAGTTATTGCACTCCTGGTAGGTCCAGTTCAGGGAGAACTGTTTGTGGTTCACTGTGTAGCAGGAGCTGAAGGTGCAGGGCAGGCGCGCATCGGAGCCATTGAGAACATCAAGGACAGAGGGAACCATAACTTCCATGCTCTGCCCTGGTGGCACTGTAGACAAAGCCACAGCTGGTAAGGTTCTGGCTGGCAGGACCAGAGAAGGGCAGCAGCCTCCTGTGCCCGGTGGAGAGGGGAGGAGTGAGGCTGGGCAGAGCTGTGGGCAGCGTGCTGCCTCCCTGGCCACAGAATAGTGAGGACATCAGGGTGGGGTGGGCGAGGCTCACTGGGGACCCCATTGTGGCTCTGGGGGGAGAGCAAGGGTAGAGAAGAAGAGAGACCAAATCATCTGTCCAGCTGGAAACAGCCAAGTGCCCCCCTCCCTCCGACATTTCTAGAACCACTGTTGGAAAACCCTCCCTCTGACCTGGCTGTCTGACCCTACCCCTGGCACTTGCTACTGAAAACCTTGGCCTGAGATGCCACTGTGTGGGGCCTCGGTTTCCCCTTTCTTACCCAGTCACCGCTATGAAGCCCAGGCACCCCTAGAGGCACGCGGAGACTCAGCAGGCCTGGATCTCCAGACCACAAAGCCAGAGCAAAGCAGAGGGCCCAGCCAGTGCCTCCGTCTCCCCCGGCTCCTGGCAGGCAGGGAAGCAAGCACATGAGCAGTGGGTGGGAGAGATGACCCAGAAGGAAACCCACAGAAGAGACACAGCCCCAAGGATCTGCTGATGAAGTCCCTCTGGGGCCGTGAAGCCACCCAGCAAGGGGCTGGCAGGCCAAGAGGGCAGCAGGGTAGGAAGAAGGCCGGCTTCTGTGGAAGCCTAGGTGCCGGAGCGGAGAAAGGCCTGACACCCTCAGGTATTCTAAGCGAGGTGAGTAAGCGAGGCACCTGGGGTGGGGTGCACAGCTTCCAAAGGCGCCCGCTCTCTCTCCTCTGGCTGCCGAGTAGGGAAGAGATCTGGTAGGAGGCAGGGGAGGGGGGCAGGTGGGAGGGGGGGACAGGTAGAAGTGGGAGACCAGCTAGGAGACTCTTGCACAGGCAGGAAGAGTCGTGGCTGCTGATGCGGCAGAGTAGTGATTGTCCTCAAAAATAGGAAGTGCTTCTGGGGCCGTATCCTTACCCCGGAGACTGGCCTCTCAGGGGCAAACCCATTGCTGTCCAGTTAATTCTGATGGGTGGAGACCCCATGTGGTACAGAGTAGAACTGCACCATGGGGCTTTCTTGGCTGAGGTGTAGTGGTTACCAACTGGGCTGCTCACAGCACGGTCAGAAATTCAAAACCACCAGTCAGAGATGAGACTTTCTGCTACAGTCATGAGCTACAGTGTCGGAAACCCACAGGGGCAACTCTACCCTGTCCTTTTGGGGTCACTGTGAGTCAGCATCGACTCAATGGCAGTAAATTTAGGTTGGAATCTCCAGCAGCAGTTCAACTTTCTCACACAACAATGCTGTGGATTCGAACCTCCAACCTTAGGTGAATAGATAAGGGCAGACCAATGCTGCCATTCAGGGACCTCCCCCCACCCCCACCCCCATCAAGAGAGTCCCCTGGAATCCCCCCAGATCTTGGCCTCTCCTATCCTTCACGGAAGCATGGCAGTGCAGCTGCAGCACGGCCCCCACCCCCACTCTGCAGAGGCGGAGAAGTGTGTACTTGCAGGGAGGCCTCGCCTGGCGGGGACTTGTCCTGAGCTCACCTCATAGCCCAGAAACGACCTGCTGTTTCTCTAGGCCCTACTGCCCTGGGGCCTGCCCTGGCTTCCCAGGGCCTTTACCACAGCCTCCAAGGGACACCTCCCCCGTAGTAAGTGCTCTCCGCATGCTGGTTGACCCTGAGATTGCTTGGCCTCTGCGTTTACCCGCCCCTGCAGCGCTCAGGATTAGAACCTTCCCTGTACTGAGCAGCTTCCCGCCCCTGGCCTGGGGACAGAGCAGTTGAGAGCAAGCGAGGGGGCTATGCTTCCTGCAGCGCTCCGCAGACCAAGCAAGCTTTCCAGTGCGGGCTTCTCCCGGGCAGCCAGCCTGGCGGCGCAGGACCAGGCAGAGCTACCCTTTGGTGGGCACAGAGGTCAAGCCCAAGCCCAACTGCCTGCGTCCTCAGGCACCCTGGTGTGGTTCCACTCACAGTGACTCAGCGAGGGGCCCTGATCTCCTTGAGAGTCCCCTTCTTTGGGGGTGCCTCTCTGCTTTCCCAGGCATGAACTCCTTTTCCGAAATTGGTCTCTCCTGATAACGCGCCCAAGAGGGAGCCCCGGTGGTTACGCGGTAGGCTGTGATCCGAATGGTCTGCGGTTGAAAACCACCAGTAGCTCCGCGGGACAAAGACTGGGCTTTCTACTCCCTAAACCGTCACCGTCTTGGAAACTCTCAGGGGGTTGCCGCGAGCCAGCCAGCACCTGCTGGGTGGCTTGGGTACCATGCCCAAGGGATGTGAGGTGCAGGCTCGCCATTCGCTCTCATGTCTAAGGAGCAGCCTGGCTTGGGCTGCTTCCAGACAGGTTGGCTGGCTACCCTGGCAGCCCACAGCGCTTTCAGTATTCTCCACCAGCGCCATAGCTCAGATGCGTCTGTGGTTTTTCCTTGTTCCTTGCCCAACTCTGACGTGCAGATGAGGCAACTGGAAATACCATATGTTGGGTCCACACAAAAAATAAAAAGAACTCACTGCTGTCACGTTGATGCTGACTTGGGACCCTATTGCGGGGCTCTGAGACTGTCACTGTTCACAAGAGCACAATGCCAGTCTTTCTCGCTCAGAGAAGCGGCTGGTTTCGAACTGCAGACCATGAGGATGGAAGCCCACGGTGAAACCACTGCACCAACCGGGCTCCTGTCCACCTTGGGTCAGGCACAACCTCGTCCTCAAAGTAGCGTTGTAAAGAGGCCTCGTGCAGCCGGCTCTCCCAGTGCACAACTGTGGCGGGAGGAACCTGGAAGCCACCAAGGCCCAGGAAGCCAGAGCTGAGAGGGGGCCCAGAATCGCCAATCTGGCCCCATTGTTTCGGTGACGGAGAGTGAGGCTCCCGAGGGCCACAGTGAATAGGGACATGCCGGGGTCTGAGCCATGGGTGGGAGCCCAGGGCCCCCACCTCAGAGAGTGGCCTCACTTTCTTCATCCCAGAGCCCTCGCCCTCCCCCCCCCATCCAGTCCCTCATTCAGGAACCCACTGGCTAACAAAATTAGTTGGTAACCTCTGAGCGAGCCATGAGCTGAACCCTGGTGCTTTGATTAACATCATTGCTTTCAGGACCACAGTTCAATCCACAGCGGGGTCTGCAGAAAGGACGTGATGAAGAAGGCCAATGCTTACAGCAGGTGCTGGTCAGGACGTCTACATGTGTTCACTCAGTTACACTCACAGTGAAACCCACAGACCCCTGTATGTCAGCGGAGAACTGGCTGGAATTGGGAAGCAAATCACCAGGTCTTGCTTCCAACACCCCCGTGGACTCAGCCGGGCAGGCTTTCACTGTTTGCAGCACCGCAACCCCAGCTAACCCGCTGCTCCCACGTGCGTTCCAACTCCCAGCAACCCTACCAGACAGCAGAGCCGAGGGTCCCCCAGGCTGCAAGCACGGACTCCTTAACACGATCACCCCAAACTTCCAGGCACAAAGTTATATAAAAATCCAAACTCCCTGCCATCCAGCCAATTCCAGCTTATAGCGATGCTGGTTTCCAAGACTGTAGACTCTTTACCAGAGCAGAAAGCCCCTTCCTCCTGCTGTGGAACTGCGGGTGGTTTTGAACTGCTGACCTTGCGGTTTGCATCCCTGTTCATAACCACGGCTCCACCAGAACTCCTTCAATTCACAGCTAGTAAGTGGCCAGGCTACCTGGCTCCAGATGGAGGGTGGAAGGGTAGGGGCTAGGGTGGGGCTATGATTATCACTCTGTCTCCTGCTGTCTGCATCACAGGCCCGGCCCCATACGCACCAGCCCCTAGCTAGGGGCAGACTGGCTAGAGGGGATGAGCCCTATTTAAGGAACCGAGGGGAGCTCACATGCTCCCTGGTTGTCTCATTTGGGACCAGGATGGAAATGATGGAGCAGTGCAGGTGTGGTTTGGGGCCTTTGCTTCTAATGCTACAAGGCAGGCTCGGCCCCTGCACCCCCTCCTCGCCATTCACCAGCCCATCTGAGAGCTCGGGAAATGTCTTCATCTCCTGCCAAACACTTTCCTGCAGAGGCTGGACGTCAATTCTCTCCACTCCTCTTCCCAACCCTACAACAACCCTCTGAGTTGGTTCATTTTCTCCTGAGCATAGAAGCCCCGCCCCAGCCATCGGGCAGCCCCGCCTCCTCAATCAGTACAATCAATACCCAACCGGCAATCTTCTCCTGCCCCCATACCTCGGCTCCCCTCCCAGTCCAGACCACCCCACAGGCATCCCTGAGAGCAACCTGTCTGGAAAATTGAACTAAACTCTCACTCCCAGCCCTCCCTGCTGCTTTCAGGATCAAGTGCAGGTGCCCGGCCTCCAGTCACCTTTGCCTCCAGTCACCTTTGCCATCTAAGCCCAACCTGTCCTGGCCTCACCTCCTGCCAGCGCCCACCCCTCCCCTTCCCTCCCCTCTGCTATGCCAGTGATCCTCTTGAAGTCCTTACTTACCCAAGCCACACGCAAACGGCCACGGGGTAGACTCCCAGACACCCTGTAGGGCAGTGGAGAACCGCCCCTGGGGGTTTCCGAGGGTGTAACTTTTTACAGGAGCAGACAGCTTCCTCTTTCTCCCATGAAGCAGCTGGTTGGCTTCGAACTGCTGACCTTGTGGTTGGCAGCCCAACTCACTATGCCTCTATCCCACCAGGATGCCTTACTTTCCTTCAAAGCATGGCATGCTTTGGGTTTGGCTTCTCCCAGCCCTTGCACATGCTTCTCCTTCCGATGGAAGAGCTCATCGGGTCCCAAGACACTAACTGAATGCAGCTTCCCTGGCAGCCTCAGTCTGTCCTCAGCCCTGCGCATCTCTCTCCAGGGGCAGGGAGGGGCCAAGATCAGGGTGACAGTGTCCTGGTCTACTTGTAGACAAGATTGCTGGCCAGGCACCTCTGTTTCCTCATGGGAGAAGTGAGAATGATACACAGGCTAGCGTGCGGGGCAGATGATTTATAACACGCAGCAAGCTCAGAACAGCACCTTCTGTGGGTGTTGTGCCGTCCTCACTGCTGTATGTACACAGGATGCTTGTTCTAACTACTGGCTTGTCTGTCTCCCTGGGAATACTCTGAGCAACTTGATCTTGTTTATCTCAGTATTCCTGGCACCCAGCACAGTCGGAGACTTCCCTAAAAGTCTGCTGAAAGGAGAGAAGACACTTCCCCCTGAGTCTGGGACCCTGCCCCCATGCAGCAGAAATGTGTGGTGGGCTTGAGAGAGGACCACAGATGTACTGCGGAGTCGGCTCTGACTTAGGGTGACCCAGGTGTGTGGGAGTAGAACTGGGCTCCACAGGGTTTTCAATGGCTGGTTTATTTTGTTTGTTTGTTTTTCAGAGGTAGATCGCCAGTCCTTGCTTCTGGTGTGTCTTTGGGGGGACTTGAACTTCCAACCTTTCAGTTAGCAGGTGAGTGTGCTAACAGTTGGTGCCATCCAGAGACGCCCAAATGAGAACCAAAGTACATTTTCAAAGCCTCCCCTCAACAAAACCCGGACTTCGGTATCTAGGCCAGAGCCCCGTAGTCCCTTCAGAGTCTCTACCGAGATGCCCAATGATGTGGGCTGTTTCCAGCTAACACCTGGCCATAGCCCTCTCTTTGTGCACAGCAGGCTGTCCTACCTGTCCCCTTGCCCCTCTGCCACCTCCCGGTCATCTCAGAAGCCCAGGCCTGCTGCAGGCTCCCTCTACCCTGGTGATCAGTGCTACAATGCCAGAGTTCCCTTGTGCCCTGCTGGTCCTCCATTCCTGCATACTCTCCCACCAAGGTTCGCAAAGGGGTTGGCTTCTTGACCCCCTGAGCCACGATGCCAGCCAAGCTCACTGCCCTCCATGGAGTGAATTCCTTCTCAGAGCAACCCTATGGGGTGGGTACAACTGTCCCTGGGTTTCTGAGGCGGTAAATCTTTGTGAGAGCCTCACCGATCTTCCTCAGAGGGGCCCCCGGAGCTGGTGGGGTTATCAGCCCAGCGTGTAACCGACTCTGCCACAGAGACTCCACTCCTCCCTCTCAACGCTCCATCCTTAGCTACTCCCCTGCTCAGGGCTCCTGCTCTCATCTAGAGCCCCCTTCCTTTCCTCGCTTAGACAGGCCTTTCCAGAGGCCACCTCCCCCCTGCAGGAAACTCCCTCTAACTCCTGAAGAAGCTGCCAGTCTTCGGGTCCCAGCGCCTGACGCTCTAGCCCTGCGGCTCTCAACCTTCCTGATGCCTCGACCCTTTAACTGTTCCTCATGTGTGGTGACCACCCCCAACCATAAAATTATTTTCGTTGCTACTTCATAGCTGTAATTTTGCTACTGTTAGAAAGGGGTCCCGACCCACAGGTTGAGAACCACTGCTCAAGCCACCCACACCGGAAAGCCACCAGCACCAGATTCCTTGGTCACTGCTAATATTGCAGTACTTTCTCTTGAACACTGGGGGCAGTAGAGTCCAGAAGTTGGGAGAAAGCATTGAAAACCAATGCGTTCAATTGTGATAAGAGTTGCATGAGCGCCCAATAAAATGATTAATAAAAGAAAAAGAAAACCAATGCGTTCAAATCTCAGCCCACCCTATCCTAGACATGTAACCTTCCGGAGCACGGTCCTCCTCTGTTCCCCCACCTGTCACACAGGATGGGGAGAAACAAGGTCCGCGATGCCGGGTTGCATGAAAAGTATGCACAGAATCCCCCCTTTACCTCGAGAGAACCGAAGCTCAGAGGGGTTGAGTAACTAACTTATGAGCATTAAATAATTGCCCAGAGGGGGCCTTGAATCCAGGTCTGAGTCCAAGGTGCACCCATGACTGCCTGGGCTTTTGTGACATTCCTGCTGTGTTGCTAGTGTGCCTAATACCCCAGCCAAGCAAATAGGCCTCACATGCTGGCCCCCACCCTCTCTTCTGACCAATAGACCCCGCAAAGGGGGAGCCTTTGTGATGGAGGGTGCCCCTCCCCCAAATCCTTTCAATGGGCCCTGCGTTGCTGCAACAGCCAAGAAACAGTTTAGGAGCAAGAACGAACTGAACCCTAAACCAGGCTTGCAAAATCCCTTTGGAGCCTACCTGCCTACCAGGAAGTCTGCGCATGGTCAACTTGGAAATGAGTACTTGGGACCACTTGACAGGAGTTCTGAGACTCAGCCTTAAAGGTCTACAACCCTGCTTAGCCCACGAGGTCCATTTTGGGGTGTGGTGTGTGTGTGTGTGTGTGTGTGTGTGTGTGTGTGTGCTTCCTGGATCTCTTCACCTGGCCCTTCTCCATTCCATCTGGCCCAAACAGACATGCCTGCTCACAGCAGTCTGCTCAGCAAGATCTCCACTCAACCTGGGAACCCATTCCTCAATGCTGCCCCCACCCTGCTCTCATACCAATGGTGCAGTGCCAGGAAGCCAGATGGTGCTCAGCTCCCTGCCCCCAGGTCCTCTGGCACACCTTCTCCCAGGGCCCCAAATCCACCAGACCCCAAGGGGCAAGGTTCATCAAAGAAGCCCCTGGCTGGAGCATCCGATGAAATCCCAAGCCCCACCCCACCCACACCCACCCCTGCATGTGCAGCTGCTGAAACCGCAGCGCTCCTGGAGGAGACTGCCCATCAGCCCAGCCTCTGCCCCATCCCCATCTAGGTCTACTTCAGAGAAAAGCAAAGAAAAAAAAGCCCCCCCCACCCCCTTGGCAATTTCCACCCCTGAACAACACTGAAATCCCCTGACCAACATTGCTAAGGACCCAGTGTCAGTCAGCCCCCAATAATGTTCCAGGCATCTCCCTTCCCAAGGACACAGTCAGTCCCCTTTCTGTCCCCTGCCCCCATCCTCTTCCAGCTGTGGCTCTACTTCTGAACCCTGGGGAGCATGCAGAGGTGGAATCTAACTTACCCAAAGAGAAAAAGAGGCTGATCCCCATGAGACTGAAGGCAGGGCGAGGTAGCCAGGCATCCCTGTGCATTTTCAGAGAGGAGACCTTAGGAGGGTGGGGTTGGGAGAGGGTGGTTTGAGGGGCTGTGGGCTAGGGGAGGAGGAAGGATTAGATACTAAAAAAACAAAATAAAAGTGCACAGACGTACTTCAAAGACATTGACAACATTGGGGAAGCTTTATTTCCATCTCTCTAATATGGCTGGCTTGTCTGTTGCCGCTAAAGAGAGAGAGAGAATGTGTGTAAGGGAGAGCAAAAGGGGGGGGATGGAGTAAAGTTTGTGGTTGTTGGATTTGAAAACGCATGTGGGAGGGCATAAAAAAAGTCGCTCAGCAAAGCATGAAGTCCCGGCTGCGTTTACCTTCTCCAACAAGAACGGAAGCAAGCCTGTGGTTTCTCCCCCACTGGGATGACTGCTGAGGTTCTGAGAACTATTGAAAGACGTCTTTTTCTTTCTACATATTGCCAAGGAAAGACTGTCGTTTAAAAATGCAAAGAAGAAGGGCCAACAAAGGAGCAGCTTGTTGTGTTTGTGATGTGTGAAGATGGCTGAGGGAAGTGAGTTGGGGAGACTCTCGGGACGTCCCCAGAGAGTGGCCACTGGAGCAAAGCCACAGCGACCAAACTACTGCCAGTCAAGTCCACTCAGGCCCACGGCCACCCTAGGGTGCAGGGGTGGGGGATGGGGGGGGTGTTTCACTGTGAGAGCTGGCCCAGGGGGTTCCCAAGGCTGTCAGCCTGAGGGGAGCAGCCAGCAGCACCTGTTCTCCCTCAGAACAACTGTGCCCACCCACCCACCACCCCTCAGCAGTACAGAGCTTAACCATTGCACTGCCAGGGGCCCGGCCTCATAATGAGTAATTCTTCACTCCATTGAGTGTGTTTAAAAGATAGTGGCTAGGTCTGTAAGCATCTGGATGGGTTCAGAGATGTACAACCGACGTGCTGACTGGTAAAGTGACTGGACAGACAGGCGGAGGGAGGAGGAGAGACTCGTGGGGAGGCAGATGTGACCACTGCCATTGGGTTTTGAGGCTGCGACAGAGGCTCGGGGGTCGTTACGCAGTGCGTTCTCGGGTGCGCTTAAATGTTTTCTTTTGGAAGAAACGTCTAGGTTGAGGTCACCAGTCAGGGGCACTTGGGTTGGAGCCCCAGGTGGCTGAGTGGAACACGGGTCCTCAGGCACCAAGCCTCTGCCTTTGTGACCAGTCATTTATGCATTGTAAAGGGGACAGCCAGTGTTTCCCAAAGAAGCCTTGGCAGTATTGTGGAAGAAGCTGCTCACCTCAAGGTAGGTGTTCAAACCCACCAGTTGTGCCCCAGGAGAGAGATGAGGCTGTCTGCTCCCATGAAGATTTAGTCTTGGACATCCTGTTACAGAGTCACTTGGAATCTGCTCATTGGCTTGGGTCCAGGGAGACCTCACTTAGGGTAACCACCCTAGTTGGCTGCCTTCAAGGTGGACCCAACACAACAGAACAAATCGCTGCCTGAACCACGATGGCGTGGGCTGCAACCGCACGTGGGATCCACAGGCCGATGTGAGAAGTAGATCCACGGGCCTGGTATCTAGTCCGCCTTCGTCTGGAAGCTCCACCGCAACACGACAGCACCCGAGCAACACGAAAGCTTTCGCCGATGATAGGTGGAAGCTGGGCATGAGATGCAGTCCCTGGGAACCAAGTCCAAGTCTCCCACGTGGACTGGCAGGGATCCTGTCCCTGAACCCTCACTGGCCTCCCCGCACAAGCCTGGGATCAGTGACTGCCCTTCTCCCTTTCCTTCCTTCCATCTTTCTCTCCCCGCACCCCTTTTTTCCACTCCGTTCTTCTCTTTCAACTGTGAGGGCAGCACCATCAGAGGTGGGTGGCAGCTGCTGGCAGAGCCCGAACCAGCATTCCAACAGGGAGGGCGTGGTGGTTTAAAAAAAAAGAAAAGCAACCTTGCCATCTATCCAGTTTTTTAGATTATCATCTTGGGATGGGGGGTGGGGGGAGCAGTGCCCCCGCCCTCGGGTCATTTATGGAAGAGCTGGCGAGAAGACTAGGGATATGGAAGAAGCCCTTGGATTCTGCTAGGGTCTGCAGGAAGGGGCCAGGGGCCAGGGAGAACAAAACAAGAGACATGCACAGCTCCAGGGGACATCTAATACACTGTGGGGCCTGAAGGACTGGGGAAATGGAGCCTTCGGGAAGCTGTTGGGCTGAGAAGCAGCAGCAGGGGCCAGAACTTCACACCAGTAGCCAGAAGGGAGAGGGTAGGCAGAGCCCCCTTGGATTCTTTATCCCACCATAGGCACCGGTCCACTCCGGATCATGCACCAGCTCCCTGGTCCTCTTAGGAAGGAAAATCAGGAAGAGGAATAGTGTTCTCCTGGCCTGGACCTGGCTCCATCCTGGCCACCTGCAAGCCCCGAAGCCTACCCCCACCCCTTCCCCTCAACCACCAGCTGCCCAGCTCACTGGTGTGCCTGGAAGGGCAGGCTGCTGGCCCCTTCTTGCCCTAGTCTGCAGTACTTTCTCTCCCAAGCTGCCGCAGGCACATGTCAGCCCAGGTGCCGGAGATTTTTGGTTTCACATAGCCGGCCTCCTCCTTTTTCTTAACACAGTGGATCATGCCTGCAAGTCCCAGAAACTGAAGGAAACCGTCAACTCTTCCCATGGTGGGTCCAGAAGTTTCTGTTTAAGAATTGGACTAAGAAATTCCTCTGCTTCTACCCAGCGTTTGACTAAAATAAACCAGCTACAGATTAATAACAGAGGAGCCTTTGTCTAGGGTCCTGGGTCGCCATAGTGTCCCTATGAGTTTGGTTTTGTCCAATTCAGCCCTGTGAGACCAAGGGTCCAGAGCTGGCTCAGGGTCAAGGAGCCCTGGCAGGGTGAGGCAAGGGGAGCGCTACCCCAGAACTTCTCCATAACCCATTTGGGCCTCCAGCTGCCCGTTTGCTCCAAAAAATCAACCCTCCCAAAGAAACCAATACCATGGTCTGGGAAGCGTTCCTGTACAGAATGGGGCCACAGCCATACCAAAGATGGGCTAGTTGGAGGGGGAAGTGCTCAGGTTTGAACATCTGGCTCAAAATCATCATCACTAAAGATGCTCTTAGACATTTAATCACTTACCCTGCGGAGAGAGAAAGGGTTCCAAAGGAAGGTCATTTCCTTTTGCCTTCCGAATGCCTGGTTGAGGCTGCAGAGGGCTTCAGAGACAGGTTTACCGTGGGCTTCTCAACATGTGGCCCCCTGCCCAGCATCATGACACCCTCTGGCAGTTTGTTGGAAATACAGAATTGCAGGCCTGACCCCAAGTCCTGGGGATGAATTATCTGCATTTTACCCGGGTCTCCGGGGATCTGGAGCCCCTCAAAGTTACAGCTGCATTGTCTGCACCATCCGCGAGGAACGATGAGCAGGGAGCGTCAGGAGGCTTGGCAGGAAGGGTTGGCCTTGTGGGAAAGGTCAACAGGATTGAATGCTAGGCCTGGTGATCTACTATATGAACATCAGCCTGCTCTGGGATAGCAAGTTGGGGAGGTTTATGTCACCTACCTCTTCTCTGGCCCATAGTCCTTTCTCAAGCCATTCTGTAACATACCGCTTCAACTTTGTGACTTCTCATTTTGTCTAATTTTGTCTTCTAACAATGTCCTTCCTCTCTTGTCTCCTCAATCTTCTCTTTCTTAAAAAACCTCCAGAGTCACCTTACTCCTGACTGTCTAAATATCTTTTCTTTCTGGGTTCTTCTAACACTAGGTACATCCACTCATGTATTTATCAATGTCCCTATTCAGTAAACTCAATATATTAATGACTGTGTGGACCACCAAAAAAGTATGGCTAGTCTTGAGAAGAATGAGAATTCAGAACTCTTCATTGTGCACATGCAGAACCTATACATGAATCAAGAAGTAGTTGTGGGAATAGAACAAGGGAGTGCTGCATGGTTTAAAATTGAGAAAGGGGGTTAAAATTAGGTCAGGGTTGTATCCTCTCACCATGCTTATTCAAGCTGTATGCTGAGCACATCATCAGAGAAGCTGGGTTATATGAAGAAGAATGCAGCATTAGGATTGGAGGAAGGATTATTAACCTCCTACTATATTGTGTTGGTCTGGGTACTTTAGAGAAACAAGTCCACAGAAACTCATGTATAAGAGAGAGCTTTATATAAAGTTTACGTGCACATCAAGAACACATCCCAACCCAGTGCTGCCCAAGCCCACAAGTCCAACATTAACCCATAAAGCCGACACCAATCCACAAAGTCCTCCTCCATCTCACAAAACACACACTATGGCGCCAACTGCAGGAGGAAAGCTAAATCAGTGAGCGTGGAAGCATCTCAGCGCTGGGAGGGGTCTCCACATGGCTGCTCCAGCACCCAGGGCTGCATCAGGGTAGGTCCATGTGGCTTCTCCTCAGGGATGTCTTGCAGGAAGTGAGCCTTGCCAGCTAAAGTAGGGAACTGGCTAAGGAAGCTGTACCCTGCTCTGACCATCACAAAGCAAGAGACCCGAGAACTAGAAAGACAAGGCTCATGGCGCCATTTATTTCTCCACCCTTCAATTAACCCCACATGTGTTTATCGGCCAGGTGGGCACAATAAACTAACTACCTCATATATGCAGATGACAAATCTTAGTAGCTGAAAGTGAGGGTGACTTGAAGCACTTGCTGATGAAGATCAGGATTGCAACCTTTATCATGAATTACAAGTCAATGTAAAGAAAACCAGACTCCTCCCAACTGGGCCAATAGGTGACATCGTGCTAAAGAGAAAAGACGGAGTTGTTAAGGATTTCGCCTTGCTCGGATCCACAGCCAATGCTCATGGCAGCAGCAGTCAAGAGATCAAACGATGCAGTGCATTGGGTAAGTCTGCTGCACAAGACCTCTGTAAAGTGTTGAAATGCAAGGATGCTACTTGAGGACTAAAACGTGCCTGACCCAATCCATGGTCTTTTCATTTGACTCACATGTGTGTAAAAGTTGAACATTGCATAAGGAAGACCAACGATGAATTAATGCATTTGATTTATGATGCTGGTGAAGATATTGAAGTACTGCAGACTGCCAAAAGAACAAACAAATCTGTCTTGGTAGAAGGACAGACAGAATGCTCCTTAGAAGCAAGGATGGTGAGACTCGGTCTCACAAACTTTGGACATGTTGTCGGGGGAGCCCAGTCCCTAGAGAAGGACGTCATGC